GGATAAACTAATATATGGGATATGAGGGTAGATTCTAAGCTTTATTCCTCCCTGAATTCCAGAGGGAGTTTGCTATTGTCATTTGACTTGTTCATACTGCTTTAGGTTTGGGAAGTCGTATTTGTGTCTGAGAATATACCTTAACCCATGAACAGAGACAATTTGCTGGATTCCCAAGACTCTGATCCATGCAAGCTCCAGAGATGCCCTGTTCTGTGTGAGGACTGGATAAGTCTCTGGGGATGGAAGCAGCTCATAGTCAACACTGCAACTACTTTTATCACTGAACCAGCCCTGAAATTTTGTGAATTTTTGTCAGTACAAAGAACCTTAGAACTAGTCAGGACTTTAAAGATCTTTCATGTCATGACCTAGAGTGTGCAGTGAGATATTTGAGATCACAGAGTTTCTGGTACATTTGGCTGTTATCAAAGCCCTCCATATAGTCTCCTGGGGTTGAGGGAAAGGGATTACTTTCTGTCATCTTAGGATCATTCTCCTTACTTGTTTCTATTTAGGGTACACATGCTTGGCACTGGGAGGGGCAGGGAATGTCTATAGTTAGGATCCACTTCCACTAGAGGTGTTTGGCTGTTTTCTACGTTTGGGCTTTTTCAAGGGAAATGAGTGGCTTTTCTATTCTGGCTCTCAGTGCAGAAAAAACATAAATATTAAACAGCTGAAAACTTGAGCAGTCATTCAACATAGATACCATCAGAGAGACCTCTTGGGTAAAAAAATAGCATTTATTATCATATGGGCTTATTCTTTATGATAATCTTATTTAATCTTGTGTTTTCTCTATTAAAAGACCCCGTTTTTATTATGAGCTGCTGGATAAAAATATCTATGTGTACCAGATAACAATGTAGGGAGAAAACAATGTTACTGGTAGTGTTACTAGCCAGGTGAATAGGAAAGATCAGTTTTGTTATTTTGCAAAAATGTATGGGAATAATGGGTTTGATTTTTTTTTTTTTTTTAATCTGGTTCCGATATTTGTTGTGTTTGTGGTTAATAGTTGGGCACAGCTTCTGATCTCTAGAGATGGGAGATATATGTAGTTGATACTTTTTCCAGGGTACTTGGGAAGATTTCTTGAATTTTTGCCTAAAATTTCTTGAATTTTTGCCTAAGGCTATGTATTTCTTTTATAAATTCCTTTGTCTCTTTTTCATTAACATCTTGCTTTCTGGCTCAAGTATTCCAATTATTGTTTAATAATTTCTGAGTGGAGGGGTGCCCAGGTGGCTCAATAGGTTAAGTTTTCAACTGTTGGTTTCACCTCAGGTCATGATTCCTGAGGTGAGTTTGAGTCCCTCCCATGCAGCTCTGTGCGGATGGTATGGAGCCTGCTTGGGATTCTCTCTCTCCCTGGCTGCCGGCACTTCCTCCTCCCTCCACCCATCCCCTTGTACGCGCTCTCTCTCTCAAATAAATTAAAAAAAATTTCTGAGCAGGATCCCCTTTTAAAATCGTGCCACTGTCTTAATATTTACTGTTAAGTTCCTTTTTTCACATGTATACCAATGAAATGAAATCTCTTTTGTTACAAAGGGTACACATGAACTCACCTGTCAAGAGCAGTTGTGGTTTTTTCTTTTGCTTTCTCTATTGGTAACTATTCATTATAGCAAAAGTAAGTTCTTGAGATAGAATTCATGTACCATATAGTTCACTCACTTAAATTGTAAAATTCAATGGTTTTTAGTATATTCATAGAATATACTGTATCCAACTGTCAACATGATCAATTTCAGAACATTGTTTTTTATCTCAGAAAGAAACCCTGTCCCCTTTAACTATCAATTTCCAATTCCTCCATCTTTTTCACCCCCTTCCCAGCAGTAAACAACTACTAGTCTATAAATTGACCTATTCTGGACACTCCCATTTAAAAGGAAATTTTATAATATGTGGTCTTTTGTGCCTGGCTTTTTTCACATACCTTAATGTTTCAAGGTTTCATTAGTGTTGTATCAGGATTCAGTACAATATTGTAGCACGCAGCAGTATGCCATTCCTTTTTTTTCCCCCTAATGTTTTTTTTTTTTTTTTTAATTTTTTTTTTTCAACGTTTATTTATTTTGGGGACAGAGAGAGACAGAGCATGAACGGGGGAGGGGCAGAGAGAGAGGGAGACACAGAATCGGAAACAGGCTCCAGGCTCTGAGCCATCAGCCCAGAGCCCGACGCGGGGCTCGAACTCCCGGACCGTGAGATCGTGACCTGGCTGAAGTCGGACGCTTAACCGATTGCGCCACCCAGGCGCCCCCCTAATGTTTATTTTTGAGAGAAAGAGAGTAAAGAGGGGTAGGGACAGAAGATCCAAAGTGGGCTCTGTGTTGACAGCAGAAAGCCGGATGCAGGGGTCATGCCCACAAACTATGAGATCATGACCTGAGCCAAAGTCAGATGCTTAACTGACTGAGCTACCGGGGCACCCCAGTATTCTGCTGTTTTTATTCTGTTTGTTATTCTGCTGTTTTTATTCATTTCTTTTTATGGCCAAATAATATGCCATTGTATGGATGGATATACCACAAGTTTTTAGTTAGTTTTGTTTGGTTTTGTTTGCTGTTGTTGTTTTGTTTTGCTTTGTTTTTTGGAGAGAGAGAGAGTTTTAGCGGGGGCAAGGGGCAAAGAGAGAGAGAAAGAGAAAGAGAATCTTAAGCAGGCTCCATGCTCAGCACAGAGCCCAAAGTGGGGCTCGATCACAGCCATGGGATCATGACCTGAGCTGAAATCAAGAGTCAGATGCTCAACCAATTGATTCACCCAGGCAACCCTTGTCAGTTTTTTGTGTTTTTGTTTTGTTTTTGTTTTGTTTTTTACAATAAAGTGTTCTATTTCCTGAGAATTGCTTTTCTTCTATGAGACTTTCTTTTTTAAAAGTTATCCTTTTCCTAAATTTTGGATTATATTCTTGGCCAAAAACCTGTAGCTTGAAAGCTTTCTTCTTAGAGCTAGTTTTCTTTCTGCCTGAGTTTTGACTTTCCTGTAGGCTGTGGAAGTGGTTGTGTGTGAGTCTTACCTTTGCCTTTTGACAGTGTTACAAGAGGCAGTAGCTACTGATATGCATTATTAAGATTCTTTGTTTTTTTAGGACATTTCTCTCTATTCTCCCATCTCTGGGAATATAGTAGATTTTGGTTAAGACCATGTTTTTAATAATTTAACTTGAACTGTGGGGTAAGTTAACCATACGTAATTAATACACATTTTAGTAATATTAGTATGGCTAATAAAGCCCTTGGCAAGCATCCTTCTCTGATTTCTACTCTTATGTACCTCATATATGTGGAATCATAAAATATTTGTCCTTCTGTGACTGACCTATTTCATTCAGTGCAGTGTTCTCAAGGTTTATTCATGTTGTAGCATGTGTCTGAATTTCCTTCCCCTTGGGACACCTGGGTGGCTTAGTTGATTAAGCGTCCACCTCTTGATTTCTGCCCAGGTCATGATCTCATGGTTGTGGGATCAAGCCCCATGTCGGGCTCTGTGCTGAGCATAGAGCCTCCTTAAGATTCTTCCCCTGCCCCATGTGCGCATACATTCTCTCTCTCAAATAAAGATAAATAAACATTAAATAAAAGAATTATCTTTTTTTAAGGCTGAGTAATATTAAATATATCTCTTTAAGACTCTTTTCAAATTCTCTTTGGTATATATCCAGAGGTGCAATTCCAGGATCATATGATAATTCTGTTTTACTCTTTGGGGGCACTGCTGTACTATTCACCATGGTGGCTGTACCATTTTAGATTCCCAGGAAAGTGTGCTAGGGTTTTAGTTTCCCTGCATTCTTGCCAAAACTTGTTATTTTCTGTTCTCTTTCTCTCTCTCTCTTTCTCTCTTTTTGATAGTAAGCATCATAATGGTAACTGGTTTCCCTAATGATTAGTGATATTGAGAATCTTTTCATGTGCTTATTGACCATTTGCATATCTTCTTTGGAGAAATGTCTATTCAGATCCTTTGCCATTTTTGAATTAGGTTCTGTTGTTGAGCTGTAGAAGTTCTTCACACATTCTTGATATTATTCCTTTATCAAATGTATCATGGGCACATATTCTGTGGGTTGCCTTTTTATTCTGCTGATATAGGTGTCTTTTTTTGTTTTGTTTTTAAGTAATCTCTACACCCACCATGATGGTTGAGCTTACAACCCCAAGATCAAGAGTTGCATGCTCTACCGACTCAACCTGTCAGGTGCCCCGTATAGTTGTCTTTTGATGCACAAATCTAACAACTGGTTATTTGTTTTGTCTGTGCCTTTGGTGTCATATTTAAGAAATCATTACCAAATTCAGTGTTGTGAAGCTTTTGCTCTATATTTTCTTCTGTGAGTTGTATAGTTTTAGCTCCTGAATTTAGGTCTTCAGTCCATAGTGGAGGATGTTATGAAAAACTAGAGTCACTGAATAAAATGATCTCTTTTTGCTTGCTCGCTTGCTGCTGCCATTTTGGTTATTGACCAAAGTTCTAGTATAAAAAACAGTGTGTAATAGTACCTTCAGCTTACATAGCAGTTTTCCTCTTTCTCATTTGATTTTATAGTAGAAGTTTAAAATGTTACGGTATTTGCAGTAACTGATTTTAAAACATCTAGAATAGGTTTTTTTTTTTTTTTTAAGTAGGCTCCCTGCCTAGCGCAGAGCTAGAACTCATGACCCTGAGACCAAGAGTTGGTGCTCTACCAACTGTGCCAGCCAAGCAACCCCAGAATAGTTTTTAATATAAGCTGCCTGTGTTAAGTTGCAACATATCACAAGTACTATATAAGCGGAATGAAATCCCTTCTATCCTTTAAAATCAATAACTGTGTAGATAGTTGTTTCAGTAGTGACCAGCAGATTGGGTGCACCAGATGGGAATAATGTTGGTGCTGTTAGGAACAGTGATAGTGTTGTTTGGGGTGTGTAGAGAATGACATTGGTAGAATTATAATTTTATAGGGTATAAATACTATTTAACAGTACTATTTTCGTTTTCAGGATTTGGACGTGGAAGAGGGAGAGGGGCAGGAAGATTCACAACACACGGCATGGGGTAAGTCTGAGCCATCCTATTTTTATAGTTATTACTCTCTTTAGGTATTACTCAAGGGTTTTTCTGCCTCTGTCCTGTTCCCAATTTATTTATCCTGGTGAATCAGATGTTAATTATTAAAAAGAGAAAGGGCTCCTGGGTGGCTCAATCAGTTAAGTGTCTTACTCTTGATTTTGGCTCAGGTCTGGATCTTGTGGTTGTGAGATGGAGACACTGTGGGTCTGAGAGCTGAGCTGAGTGTGGAGCCTGATTAAGATATTCTTATTCCCTCCCCGCCCCTCTCACCATCTCACCATCTCCCATCTCTCTCTCTGTCTCTGTCTCTCTGTCTCTCTCAAATAAAAACTAAAAAAAATTTTTTAAGTGCCACAAAAAAAGAAAATTGTGAAAAAGTGAAATGCAAATAAAATTGTATTGTAATAGGCTTTCTGTCCTTGGCTATTTTTTGACATTTTGGATTGAATAATAGTTTGTTGAAGTAGTGGGGTATCCTTTACATCCGTGGCCTCTCCCCATTACATGCCAGTAGCATCCTTTCTCAAGTTGTGACAATCAAAAAAAAATCTTCAGATATTACCTGGTGGGGGGTGGGCATAATCACCCCTTGTTGCAAACCACTGCATAAGAGTTAGGTTGATAAATCCAGCAATTGTCTTGAATGGTGAGTTAATGCAATGTTTATATAAACATGTTAGTATTTTTATTTTATTTTTTTCTAAACAGTGAACATATTATTACTAAACAGGTGATATAATCAATTGTTCATAATTTCTGGTTGTTCTTTTACTTTTTCCTTCTTCTAAAACGTTAGCTCCCCTTTGGGGTGCCTAGGTGGCTCAGTTGATTAAGTGTCCAACTTTATTTCAGGTCATGAACTCACACCTCATGAGTTCAAGCCCTGCATTGGGTTCTGTGCTGATAGCTCAGAGTCTGGAGCCTGCTTTGGATTTTGTGTCTCCCTCTCTCTTTGTTCCGCCCCCACTCGCACTCTGTATCTCTCTCTTAAAAATAAGATTAAGGGGCGCCTGGGTGGCTCAGTCGGTTGAGCGTCCGACTTCGGCTCAGGTCATGATCTCGCGGTCCGTGACTTCAAGCCCCGCGTCAGGCTCTGTGCTGACTGCTCAGAGCCTGGAGCCTGTTTCGGATTCTGTGTCTCCCTCTCTCTCTGACCCTCCCCCGTTCATGTTCTGTCTCTCTCTGTCTCAAAAATAAATAAACGTTAAAAAAAATTTTTGTTTTTAAATAAGATTAAAAAAATTTTTTTTTCTTTTAAAGCCTTAGCTCCCCTTAGGTTTTTAGGAAAAGTTTTTAAGCTTATAGAAGCCATCTGTATATAGATGACGATTGAGAAAGGAAGGGAATTGGTTCCAGGAAAACCCTTAGCTCCAGGGTAGCACTGTAGCAGGGGAGGGTCATTGCCTTCAGGTGATACCTCTTGCCATTTCTGTTTCCTGCTTGAGCTCATTGTGGATAAAGGAAAGATGGATACACAGGGAGCATATTGGCTGGAATACATACCTTGTGTGCCCAGACCAGCTTTTTAAACTCTTTTGTGGTTTTTTCAGTTTACATTAAAAAATACTCTTGTGATTTTTTTTATTTGTCAGATACCTCAGTAAAGCTGGAAAAAATTTTTAAATTCTATTCTGAAAATTTTAGAGATAGTATTAATTTGGCCCTAGTTAGACATCTGAATATGGGTGTTTAGAATTTCAACGGGAAAAAAACCTTGATGAAACATTTTCTTTATATTCACTGTTTTTATACAAAAAGGATCTGGATTCTTACTCTGGGAAATAAACACTTTGTGTTTAAGTCTAGTCTTAGTTTTAAGGGAAGTTTTCCGTGAGAACCCTTATTCTTCCTAATACAGTTATAGTTGTGTACATCTGCTTTAGAATGTGGAGTGCAGCAACTTAGGGAAATAAGGACATCATACAAGAACATATGGAAGGTTCCCTAGGCAACCTCTGCTTTTTAGAAAATCTACATCCTGATAGTCAAGAAGAGTTAGCTATAATTAAATAGGGGAAAGATGGTGAAGTTAGGAAAAAAAAATTTTTAATGTTTGTTTACCTGTTTTTATTTTTTTATTTTTTTAAATTTTTTTTTTCAACGTTTATTTATTTTTGGGACAGAGAGAGACAGAGCATGAACGGGGGAGGGTCAGAGAGAGAGGGAGACACAGAATCGGAAACAGGCTCCAGGCTCTGAGCCATCAGCCCAGAGCCCGACGCGGGGCTCGAACTCACGGACCGCGAGATCGTGACCTGGCTGAAGTCGGACGCTTAACCGACTGCGCCACCCAGGCACCCCTGTTTACCTGTTTTTAAAGCTTATTTTGAAAGAGAGTGAGGGAGGGGCACTGCCAGTGAAGACTCCAACTCAGGGTTCAAACTCAGAAACAGTGAGGTCACCACCTGAGCCAAAATCAGGAGTCAGATGCTTAACCCACTGAGCCACCCAGACGCTGCCCCTATTTACCTATTTTTGAGAGAGGGAGGGGAGAGGGCAGAGAGAGAGGGAGGAGAATCCCAGGCAGGCTCTCTGCTGACAGTGCATAGCCCAAAGCTGTAAGATCATGATCTGAGCCAAATCATCCAGATCTGACCTGAGTCAACTGACCATCTAAGGGGTTCCAGTTGCCCCAGTGTGAATTTTATTATATTGGCTTTTAGAAGGACAGGGTATTTGGGGAGGAAGAAGATGATATATAGTTAATGTTGTGATTTTGGTAATTGTTGCACTTTAATTCTTTTTTTTTTTTTTTTTTCAAACACAAGGACATTTAATCCTGCGGACTATTCAGATTCTCCATCTATAGATGGGTGTGGGACAAAGCCAATAGTTTGGGAAGCTGCTCAGAATGGTGCAGATGAGGGGACTGGTAAGTGTCTATTGTCAAAGATGTGTTTTAAATGTTTGAGTTCTTAACATACAAAGATGTACTGATGGAGAAGAATGAAAAGCAGGCTGCTGTCCTACCTCTGAGACTATTAGCTGGTTCTTACCTCCAGGGTCTCATTTAAAAATCTCATTGACCATAAGGTATTTGATTTTTCCCTTGTGCACTCTGAGGAAGAGGCTTTTATCAATCTGTGTAAGTCAGTACAAATTCACACTCAAATCTCAGTGTGTCAGGGATATATGTAATTTCTTACGGGTAGGTTTGTTACTGAAAAGTATCATTCCTGATGATGGACACAAATTTGGCCAGATAGAGTGGTAGGTGACTAGTAGATTTGGGCATCAATTGCTTTTGTAGTTTTTTTTCTGTATCCTGATGTTTTTGGATTATTTCTTTTTGGAAACTCATGGACAAATACGTGTTAATTGGAGCTTCTAGGATTTGTTCATGATAATACATCATTAACTACTGCAGTTATATTTATAAAAACATAATTTGGCAATTCATGAATTATAACTGAAAATATAAAAGTGTAGTTCAATAAATAATGTAAAAGCAAACCACCCATATAACACCGATTCTGGTCAAAAAACAGGACTGTGCCATCACCACAGAAACACCATCAATGAACTAGAAATCAAGGATACTATAGAAAGGATCAACAAAAGGTATAAAAATGGTTATTTGAAAACACTAGTAAAATTGATAAGCTTACTGTGAGACTGATCAAGGGAAGGAGAAACAGCATACATAATTGGTTATAGGAATGAGAAAAGGGATATTGATATTATAGGTATAATTAAAGTATATATTATGTATAATTGATGGTTTAATATAATCACAATTGTAATTAATATCAGGCATTAAAGTATACTTCATGTCAGTAAATTTTGTGCTAACATTTGAAATTACAGACTAATCTCACTCTTCAACAAAAATGTAGAAATCTTAAGCCAAAATATTGGAAAACCATTTGGTAAGATAGAAAAGAATAATACATCATGACCATGTTAAATTTATGCTTGGTAATCAAGGTTCTTTCACATTAAAAAATCAATCATTTCCCAGATACATATACTCAAGAGAATGGAAGACACGGCTTTACATAAAACCTTGTATACAGATGTTCATAGAGGCATAATTCATAATGGCCGAAATGTAGAAACAAACCAAATGCCTTTCAGTGGATGAATGGAGGAGTAAATTGTTGTGTATCATCCATACAATGGAATATTCATTCTACCATACAAAGGAATGAAGTGCTGATGTATGCTGCAACATGAATGAATCTTAAAAACATGCTGAGAGCCCAAATGTCCATCAACTGATAAATGTATTAAGATGTGGTGTGTATATATATGTGTATATGTATATGTGTGTGTGTATATACACACACACACACAGTGGAATGTATGGAATTGAATACTACATGGAGTGTAGTACAATGGAATACTACTTCATGATGAAAAAGTAAAATCTTGCCATTTGCAACAACATGGACGTAACTGGAGGCTGTTATGCTAAGTGCAATGAGACAGATAGGATTTCACTCGTGGAATTTGAGAAAGTTAACAGATGAACATAGGGGAAGGGACGGAAAAATAAGATAAAAACGGAGGCAAACCATAAGAGACTCTTTTTGTAATTAAATATTTTTTAACGTTTATTCATTTTTGAGAGAGGGAGACACAGAATCTGAAGCAGGCTCCGGGCTCTGAGCTGTCAGCACAGAGCCCGATGTGGGGCTCAAACCCACAAACCGTGAGGTTAGGACCTGAGCTGAAGTCAGATGCCTTACTGGCTGAACCACCCAGGCACTCCAAACCATACAGAGAACAAACTGAAGGTTGGTGGGGTGGGTGGTGGTGGTGGTGAGTTAAATGTGTGATGGGTATTAAGGAGGGCACTTTTGGGATGAGCACTGAGTGTCATATATGAGATGAATCACTCTGTTCTACTCCTGAAGCTAGGACTGCACTGTATGTTATTAATTAACTAACTTGAAAAAAAAAATCATGCTTAATGAAGGAAGTCAGTTATAAAGGATCACATATTTTATAGTATATGATTTCACTTGTAGGAAATGTCCAGATCAGGGGGAAAAAAAAAAAAAGCAGTAGATTGTTGGTTGCTGAGGGTTGGAAACATTTGGGGAAAAATGGGGAATGACTACTAATGGTTTCAAGATTTCTGCCTGGAATGGGGCGCTTGGCTGGCTCTTTCAGTAGAGCATGTGACTTGATCTCTAGAGTTGTAAGTTTGAGCCACATGTTGAGTATAGAGATTACTTAAAAATAAAATCTTAAAAATAAAAAGATTTCTTCTTGGAGTGATGAAAATATTTTGGAATAGGGGATGCCTGGATGACTCAGTTGGTTGAGCATCAGACTTCGGTTCAGGTCATGATCTCACAATTTGTGAGTGGTTTGTGTTGGGCTGGATCCTGCTTCAGATTCTGTGTCTCTGCCTCTCTGCCCCACCCCTGCCTGTGCTCTGTCTCCATCTCTCAAAAATGAATAAATGTTAAAAACAATTTTTTAAAAAATTCTGGAATAGTCATGATTGTTTCATAACTTGTGAATATACTAGACATTATTCAAATATGTACTTTAAGAGGATGGATTGTATGCTTGTGTGAGTTATATCTCAATAACAAAAATAATTATTTATACTTTTAACCGAGTAAAGCTTAAAATTCCTTATTAAAGAAATGCATTTGACAAAACCTAATATCCATTTCTGATTTTTTAAAAAACTGGCAAATCTGGAATAGAAAGAAATCTTAGGGGATATCTACAAAACATACAGCAAGCATTACAGTAAATGATGATGTGTTGTTGAATGTTTTTTCTCTGGAAGGAGGTAAAGGGGCTTCCTCTTACTCTTTCTATATACCAATGTACTAGAGGTCCTAATCATTGCAATAAGGACTGAAAAAAGTCGAAGGGTTTGAAAGAGTAAAAACCTGTCATTTCTTGAAATGATCTAAAAATCTATAGATAAAATATTAAAATTAATAAGGGAGTTTTAAAAGGTGCTAGATAGAAGTTCAATAGATGTATTTCTATAGACCATCAACAGAGAGAAAATGGAAAAAAAAATCTGTAGCCTCAAAAAATTTCAAATGCCTGGCAGTGTAACGATATGCCAGATCATCAGCCTTCTACCTGTGAAAACGTAAAATATAAAATTTTATTTTAAAATATAAAATTGAAGCTCAATCAGTTGAAAGTCCGTCTTCTGATTTGGGTTCAAGTTTTTGATCCCACAGTTGTGCCTTGGCTGCACACTGAACCTGGAGCCTGCAGCCTGCTTAAGATTCTCATTCTTTCTTTCTCTCTCCCTGTTGTAAAATAAAAAAAAAAAAAATTTATATGTATGTATGTGTGTATATGTATATATGTGTGTGTATACACGCGTATACATATTTGTATATATATGTTTTAAGAAGAAATGAATGGAAAGAATATACCGTATTTATTTCATGTCTGGTTGTTGTGAAACTTAGTTTTTACTGACTCTCTTTGGACTTATTAATGGTAGTCTACCTCATGAAAATTTTCCTTGCTGATTTTTTTAAATGTCAGGTTTATTGAGATATGCTTTATATGCAGTAATATTTACCCTTTTGAAGGGCTATAAGTAGGTGAATTCTAACAAATGCATGTGATTGTGTGACCAACCCTAAAATCAAGACTTTCTGTATGAGCTGTCAACAATTGCAAATAATTAAAAAGGAAAAAAAGGTACCGTTTATAGTTCACACAAAAACATGCAATATTTATATTAAATCTGATAAAGTATGTCTAATATTTGTATGCTGAAAATTATGTAACCTGATGAGAAATACCAAGACCCCAAAATGGAGAGAGAGATACTCAGTACTTATGAACTGAAGATTCAGTATGTTATTAAAAAGTTATATTTTTCCTCAAATTGATGTTTACGTGAAGTGTATGTTTAATCAGAATCCTAGCAGATTTTTTTTTGGTGTAAATTGAAAATTTGATTTAAAAATTTTCATTTTAGGGTGCCTGGGTGGCTCAGTTGGTTAAATGTCCGACTTTGGCTCAGTTCATGATCTTGGCGGTTTGTGAGTTCGCTTGTTTCAGATTCTGTGTTTCCCTCTCTCTCTGCTCCTCCCTGACTCATGCTCTGTTTCCCTCAAATATTTAAAAAATTTTTTAAAATTTTTATTTAAAGAAATTTGTATTTTGTTTTAAGTTTTTAAGAAATCTCTACACCTAGGGGTGGGTGCCTGGATGGCTCAGTTGGTTAGGCATCTGACTTGGGCTCAGGTAATGATCTTGTAGTTCATGGATTTGAGCCCTTCGTTGGGCTCTGTGCTGACAGCTCAGAGCGTGGAGCCTGCTTCGGATTCTGTCTCCCTCTCTCTCTCTCTCTCCAAAATAAAATACGTTAGGGGCTCCTGGGTGGCTCAGTCGGATGAGCGTCTGACTTCGGCCTGGGTCATGATCTCACGGTCTGTGAGTTCGAGCCCCGTGTCAGGCTATGTGCCGACAGCTCGGAGCCTGGAGCCGGTTTCAGATTCTGTGTCTCCCTCTCTCTGACCCTCCCCCGTTCATGCTCTGCCTCTCTCTGTCTCAAAAAAATTAAATGTTAAAAAAAAATTTAAAAAAAAACCGTAAAAAAATTTTTTTAGAAGTCGTCTCTATACCCAGTCTAGAGCTCGAACTTAAAACCCTGAGATCAAAGTTACCTGTGCTTCTGGCTGAGCCAAGCCAGCCAGTCTCCCTGATTTTAAAGTTTTTATAGAAAAGTACAGATACTGGCGTATAACCCATACGAATTTTGAAAAAGATCAACAAAGTTTAGATCATACCCATCTTAAAATTCTAGCCCTTGTTTTTTATTGAAATGAAAGAAAACATCCATACAGAAACCTGCACATGGTATTTTTAAGTGGTTTTATTCATAATTCTTACTGATTTTTAAATCAGGTTTCGAAACAATGTTGAATTAGTTGTTTAACTGTTATTTTTCTTTTTTCTCTCCACGTCCTCTTCTTTTCCCTTCACCTGTCTTCTCTGGGCTCCTCTCTTTCCCCTTTTTCCCCCGATTCGCATTTAGAGTAGTAGATTCCTTGCTGAAAAACAAGGAAATGTGTTTAATGCAGAATACAGTTAAAGGATGTCAGTTGATAAGAGTGCTGGGGCTGTTTCTCTAGGGGCCTCACAGAATGGCATTTTCTTGTTGAAAACATACAGTTCTGCGTGTGGACCTCAACCATAATTATAGGCTCAAAAACATGACTTTTGACAGGATTGTGATCAAATCCATTCTTTAGAGGCAGACCCTCCATTATGGAAAATGGAATGACTGAAGGATAGTTACAATAATGATTTATAAGTCGAAACATACTAAACATATTTGTAAAACATTGTAATGGTTTTAACAAGTGGGAAGGGAGTTTGGTGAACATGGGGATGAGAACAAGTGTAGTTGATGCAATTGAATGTTCAAAGGCTATCTGGCTAATAGGATTTATAGTTGAGGTACAGTGTGGGCTGTCACAGTATTTTCTTTATTTTTATTTTTTTAACGTTTATTCATTTTTGAAAGAGACAGTGGGAGTGGGGGAGGGGCAGAGAGAGGGAGGCACAGAATCCGAAGCAGGCTCCAGGCTCCGAGCTGTCAGCACAGAGCCTGATGTGGGGCTCGAACCCACAAACTGTGAGATCATGACCTGAGCCGAAGTTGGACGCTCAACCAACTGAGTCACTCAGGTGCCCCGGGCTGTCACAGTATTGATTGCAGTACGTTTCCCTCTCCTCGGATGCACAGCCTGGATCAGCTTTGATGCTTTAATTTTGTTAAGTTGCTAAACAGTTTCTCTTCTGATGAATACCTTCATTATTTTGATATGTGAAAACCTTCCATTTTACATTGATCTGCAGAACTGGCATCAAATGCTCATAATGTAGCTCAGGATCTGCCACACAAAAATTCCTATGGACTCAAAGGTATGGTTTTCTTAATTCTTTAGTTAAAAATCTTCGGGGTGGCTGTCTGGCTCAGTTAGTACAACATGCAACTTTTGATCTTGGGGCTGTAAGTTCAAGCTGCCTGTTGGACATAGAGCTTAGTTGAAATAAAAAGAATCTTTCAAAATGCTTACAGTGTCTGCCATTTTAATCAAGGCTAGTTAAGTAGAATTCATCAAGTGAATATTTGTAAAAAGTATATTTTTACACCTGCTTGATTAAATATCAACTTAAATGTTTTTTAATGTTTATTTTTGAGAGAAAAAATGTGAGTGGGGGAGGGGCAGAGAGAGGGAGACAGAGAATCTGAAGCAGGCTCCATGCTGTCAGTGCAAAGCTGGACATGGGGCTGGAACCCAAGCACTATATCATGACCTGAGCTGAAGTTGGGTGATGAACCAACTCAGCCACCCGCTTGCCCCTTAAATACCAACTTTTGATTATGGAATTGTTTTACAGATTGGCCTTCAAGGCAGCACAGATTTTTATCTCGTTTTTCCTACATGGCTACCTTAATGTGCTTTTGATAGAATGCTAACATCAAGTTAAATGCAACATAAAGCATGCACCTCAAATTTATTGTTTTAAGCTGAAAATAAATCAGTATCATTGATGTTTTCCCACGTTTGAGGTGTAGGTTTATAGGTGAGTAATGGGGAACAAAGTCTTATTGTAAAAGCCTAATATTTCACAATAGTATTAGGATCAGAGCCTGTATTGTTTTACATGTAATGTCTTGTAATTTTTATAGTCTGTATATTTAGGGTGGGTTTTTAGCTTATTTATTTTTGAGAGACAGAGCAAGTGAGCACAAGCAGGGGAGGGGCAGAGAGAGAGGAAGAGAGGATCCCAAGCAGGCTCTGCACTGTCAGCACAGAGCCTGATCCAGGGCTCAATCTTTTGAACTGTGAGATCAAGACCTGAGCCGAAGTCAGAAGCTTAACTGACTGAGCCACCCAGGCACCCTGGCCCTGGTTTCTGATAAGGGGTTGCCTCCTCTGTGGTCTGACATAACCACTTGTTGCACTTGGTTGTGACTACGTATATTGTCTTCTTATTAAATGTACTCAAATTCTAACTATAATCTCCATGTCTCAATTTGTGATTATTTTCATAAGACCCTTCTAAGTGTTAGGCCAGTCTCTTTACATATACATATATGAAAGTGTGCTTTAACTGAATACCACTGAATTGGACATTTAAAAATGATCACAGTAGTAAATTTTATGAGTATTTTATCACAACAATTTTTGGAAAAATATTTTGTAAACTTATAAGTTTCTTTTTGAGAGAGAGGCAGTGTGTGTTGGGGAGGGGCAGAGAGAGAGAGGGCGAGAGAGAATCCCAAGTAGACTGCACCATGAGCGTAGAGCCTGATGTGGCACTAGAACCCATGAAACCGTGAGATCATGACCTGAGCCAAAACCCACAGTTGGATGCTTAACCAGCTGAGCCACCCAGTGCCCCAGTATTTTGTAAATTTCAGGATACTTTCGATATTTTATATAGAGGGTTTTGTAATGCCTCGTCATTGTTTTTCTCCTTTGGAGTATCCCTTCTCAATCTAGATCGATCGACCAATCGATGGATCTTCCCAGCTGTTTTCCAGCTTTCAGGATTTGTTAAGTTTTTATTTATTTTGAGTGAGAGGGAGGGTGGGGGAGGGACAGAGTGAGAGAGAGAGAGAGAAAATTGCAAGCAGGCTCAGAAATGTCATCATGGAGCCCAACATGTGCTTGATCTCTCAGACTGTGAGATCACGACCTTAGCTGAAATCAGGAGTTGGATGTTCAACCGACTGAGCCTTGCCAGCTGACCTGATTTTTTTTTAACATTTTATTTTAAAGTAATTTCTGTATCAAACGTGGAGCTTGAACTTAACCCTGAGATCAAGAGTTGCATGTTCTTCCAACTGACCCAGCCAGCCCCCCCCCCCCAACTTTTAAGAGTTTTGCTATACTTTGTTTTCCCCATAAACTTTCTCTTCCCTTTCTAGCTTTCATTAACTTTTTTTTGTCCTCCACATTTCCAATTATTAATCAGCTCTGGGTGATTTATTGTTTAAAAATATACACCATGATCACCCACAACATTTTTGTCTTTCCAGTGAAATAGGACTTTGGTATTTAACATTATGCTAAACATGTAGTCTTTTTTTTTTCTTTCCAGTTTTTATTTATTTATTTTGAGAGAGTGAAAGCTTGAGCAGGGGAGGGGCAAAGAGAGGAGAAAGTGTTAATGTGAAGCAGGCCCCACACTGCCAGCATGGAGCCTGATGAAGGACTTGAAATCATGAATCCTGAGATCATGACCTGAGCCAAAATCAAGAGGTGGACGGCTGAGCCACCCAGGCGCCCCAAACATGTAGGCTTTTAACCCAGTATTGGTTGGTTGATGATTGATGATGAAGGGTTTCTGAGAAAAATTCCACCATAAATTGTTTCCTACTAAGAGTCTTAAAGGCCTTGAAGATGAATGTTTTAGGAGTGATTTTCGAGCCTCTGCAGTTGTTTTCTTTTTCTTGATTAGAATGCTCCTAAAACTGCTTACGTTGAACCCCAGCTTTTTGTAGGATTCCTTAATCTTTAGAGTACTGTCACCTATGATAAATTTGACAGCATGAACCATAGGGTAGGTTGGATCGAGGCAGCACCAGGAACACTGTGTACTGGCTGCCCTTTAAGTTAGTCTCGTTGTGAGTTAAAAATTATTTTACTGTTTGTTTATTTTTGAGAGAGAAAGAGTGGGAACGGGGGAGGTGCAGAGAGAGGGGGAGACACAGAATCCAAACGGGCTCCAGGCTCTGAACTATCAGCACAGAGTACGACTCGGGGCTTGAACTCATAGGCCTGGAGATCATGATCTGAGCCAAAGTTGGACACTTAACCAACCAAGCCACCCAGGCACCCCTAGTTGTGAGTTTTTAAAACTATATATCTACTTAGAGAAAAGTCTTGATGGAGATCTATTAAAACATTGGGGATTATGTATCAGTGCCTTGAAGAAAATCACATTGCAGAAGGAATGTAAGAGTGGAGAGTAGGTAGATGGTTTGCCTTAGATATATTTAGCTTTGCGTACAGGGTGATCTCTAAGAAGCCTAGGCAGAGGTCTAGAGAACAACTTTTCACTACTGATTTCTGACTGGGACTAATTGCAACTCGTGTTTTTTCACTTAAACTAGGACCTCTTCCTAGTTTTAAGAGGCTGTTGAATTGGGAGTGAACGGGTGACTCAGTCAGTTGCGCTTTCGACTTCGGCTCAGATCATAAGCTCGTGGTTTGTGAGTTCGAGCCTCACATCAGACTCTGTGCTGACAGCTTGGAGCCTGGAGCCTAGAGTCTGCTTTGGATTCTGTGTCTCCCTCTCTCTGTGACCCTCCCCCACTCACACTCTCTTTGTCTCTATCAAAAATAAAACCTTGGTTTGGGCATACCTAGTCGGTTAAGCGTCCCCTGCCAGGTCATTTTTTTTTTTTTTTTATCTTCTGGTCCGTGAGTTCGAGCCCTCACGATCAGGTTTCGTGGTTGATGGTTCAGAGCCTGGGAGCCTGCTCGATTCTGTGGCTCCTCTTCTCTGCCCCTCCCCCGTTCATGCTCTGTCTCTCTCTGTCCCAAAAATAAATAAACGTTGAAAAAAAAAATTAAAAAAAAAATAACCTTAAAAACGTTTTAATTCAAAGAGATATTTGGGTCCACTTAAATTCCTAATTGTGTTATGATATTTGTGGAAAAGTTGCGGAAACCATTAAAAGGTATGATGAGTGAACCAGTAGAAAGGATCACACTGTCAGTTCAGAACATTCTGTATTAATGTTTATGATTATTTCAAGGATACATGCAGTTGAGAGGCACGAAGGACAAACAGTGCCTGTATCCATGTTCTTCCTTCCTTTAATGTATATGTCCTATGATCCATGATGATAGATGACGTCTCTCAGTGATGTGTGTAGGGTTCTCACACAGGAGGGAATGTTTTTTAGGTTTGAAATACCTCCTATATAGTAGCATATCTTGGGGGACGTTTTACAGAGCGCCATACTGCATATATTCATCAATTCTATGTTTGTCATAACCAGTCCTAAACAAGGGACATCCACCTGAAAGAATTCCATTAGGAAGGACTCTTTTCATAGGTAACACCTTCTGTTTATTCATGAAACAGTTGGTTATTAGGTTATAGACCTAGTTCTAAGGAAGTTAGATCTGGTTACCTGCCCTTTTCTCAATTGTTTTCCCCTTCTTCTCTTCCTTTTGTCCTTTGCATACACAAACCTCATCGTAGGTCAGATGCCCAGCTCATTTCTTCCCTGTTGAAGGAATGAAAACATGCACAGTCTTACTTCCTGGGGGTGATTATAGTTGATATCTTTGTGTATTTTCTTATGAAATCATTTTCTCTGATTTTTGCACGTATGTATTTGCATGTAGTTCAGCATTTCTGAATACAAATGCTTCCCTTTAAATATTTTTCTGGGGGCGCCTGGGTGGCGCAGTCGGTTAAGCGTCCGACTTCAGCCAGGCCACGATCTCGCGGTCCGTGAGTTCGAGCCCTGCGTCAGCCTCTGGGCTGATGGCTCAGAGCCTGGAGCCTGTTTCCAATTCTGTGTCTCCCTCTCTCTCTGCCCCTCCCCCGTTCATGCTCTGTCTCTCTCTGTCCCAAAAATAAATAAATGTTGAAAAAAAAATTTTTTTTTAAATATTCTGTAAGAATTGTTTGAGCAGATCTTCTGCATCTGCTCATCAGGAATTAATATATAGCACCAGAATTTATGTGAGCAGGACTAATGCTCAGCTTTGCTGGAGATCTATTAGGGAACCATAGAATGGACCTAATATCTTTTTTAAGTTTATTTATTTTGATAGAGAAAGCATGAGCAGGGGAGGGGCAGAGAGAGAGAGCAAGAATTCTAAGTAGGCTCTGCACTCTTAGCGTTGAGCCTGACATGGGTCTCCAACCCAGGACCGTGAGATCATGGCCTGAGCTGAATCCGAGTTGTACACTTTCTACTGAGCCGTCCCAGGCACCCCTTTAATATCTTACAAAGAGGATGCATCTATAAATTCAGTAGTTCAGTAATCTACCTGAAATTAAGATCCAGCCAAGCCAGCTTCATAATGAATTTTGCTCTGTTTTAAATGTTACATATCATAAGGGTCTCATGGTTAAATATGTGTATTTGTGCTATGCTCATACTTTAGTAATCATGGCAGAATTGCTTGGATATGATCTACACTGAAGCAAAATTCGTGTGAGACTTCGCTTTCAGTTTATGTGGATAGTATCTAGCTAAGTTGAATTTGACTACATGGCATTTTATTGAGAATAGATCAGGAGCTTCATATTAGATTGTAAACTAAATTACTAATAAGATTTATGATACATTTTATACAGTATACGATAGAGAATTAGTTGGAGTGAGATGATATTTGACTTTGTGATGTAAACTATGATTATTGTCAGCAGGGGCCTGGAAGAATTCGGTGGAAGAGTGGACAACAGACGACTGGACTGAAGATGTAAGTATTTAGCATCAGATTAGATCTGTCTTCCTCTTGTTTTCTGGTAAGGGCATGCATTCTTTGAAAAAGCTGGAAACATCTTGTGGTTGCCCATGGCTCTTTTTCAGACATGTGATTATCGTGTTTTTAAGATTTTTAAGAAACTTGGTTTTGATTCAGGTCATGATCTCATGGTTTGTGAGATCCAGTCCTGCTGTAGGGCTCTGTGCTGACAGTGAGGAGCCTGCTTGGAATTCTCTCTCTGCCTCTCTCACTCTGCCCCTCCCCTGCTCATGTTCGCCTGCCTGCCCTGCAGATAGATAGATAGATAGATAGATAGATAGATAGATAGATAGATAGATAGATAGATAGAAAGAAAGACTGACTGACAAAAAATTGACAAGGTATTAGGGATGCCTGACTGGCTCAGTCTGAAGAACATGGGACTCTTGAACTGGGGGTCATGAGTTCGGTCCCCATATTGGGTGTAGAGATTACTAAAACATAAACTTAAAAAAAAAAAAAAGGATCAGGTGTTAAGTAGGCCTAAAAATCATTTTTTAGCTTATCTTTTGTTTTTAAATGTTAAAAAAATTTTTTTAATGTTTATTTTTTTAAAATATATATTTTTTTAATGTTCATTTATTTTTGAGACAGAGAGACACAGCATGAACGGGGGAGGGG